CAGACCACCTGCCAAGCAACTTCCTGTACAGAGAAACTGCACCCACAGCAGGCAGAGCCAAGCCAGAGCCTGAACTGACCCAATCCAAAGCCCTAAAACTAGATTAACTTGGCTGGGCATGTAATCCCAGCACTTTGGGAGGTCGAAGCAGGTGGATCACTTGAGATCAGGAGTTTGAGACTGGCCTGGTCAAAGTGGTGAAACCCCATCTCTACTAAAAATACAAAAATTAGCTGGGCGTGGTGGCGGGCACCTGTAATCCCAGCTACTAGGGAGGCTGAGGCAGGAGAATTGCTTGAACCTGAGAGGTGGAGGTTGCAGTGAGCCAAGATAGCATCATTGCACTCTAGCCTGGGTGACAAGAGTGAAACTCCATCTCAAAAAAAAAAAAAAAACTAGATTAACTTGTGCCCCTGCCACCGCAGATAAGACTGACCCAGAAAGGTGATGTGACCCCCCAAAGTCACATAGTGAGGACTGGACTCCTGCCCAGCTGGGTGCCCTCTAAGGTACCCTCCCACAATGACACAGCACAGGGAGAACCCCCGGCCCAATCATGTTAATAACCTGGCCCATGGGAGTGGTGAGATTTCAGCCTTGGAGAGCCAAGGACCTAGGTCCTGATCTAGCTTTAGCCAAGCCCAGCTGTTTGTGAACAAGTGAATTTCTGCCCTGAGCCTCAGTTTCCACATCTGCTTCATGGGATTAAGGAGACCTATCCCACAGGACAGTTGGGAAGACACAGTGAGGAGACATAAAGAAAGCATGCTGCCCTGGCCCCACCTTCCTCATGACCCTTTTGAGTCCCAGAGACTGGTAAGAGTGGGAAGGCCTTGGAGACCCGTGAACCATCTGGCATTTCACAGGGCGAGAAGGTGAGGCGCTGAAGGGCACGAGCTGAGCAGTGGCCTGGGAGTCGGGAACCCAGGCGCACTGTGGTATGGGGTAGGTGGACAGTGAGACGGCCCTGGGAGGGGCTGCTGGAGCTTTCCCCAAAGTGGGAGGGGAGGAGCAGCAGGACAGGAAGTCAGAGGAGGCAGGTCTCACTGCCCAGCTTCCTGTGGCCAGCCAAGCCACACCCCATCCCACACCTGCTCCAGGGCCAGGCCTCTCCCATCAGGGGCCCAGGCTCTTATCAGGCCTCATTCCTGCCCCCAGGCTGCCTGTGCAGTGGGTAGGAGGTCACCTGGAACTGTCTGTCCTCCCTCCACCAGGGTCTGGAGGCATCTGAGGAGATGCCTAGGTCTCCCCTGCCTCTCACGCGGCAGGCATCAAGGGCAGCCAAGCACGTGAACATCCAGGGCAGGGCCTTGCAGGCCACGTCCTCTGCTGTCTGTCTGTCTGCTCCTCATCTCTCCCCCATGGCCCCAGCCCGGGTGCTGCGTTCAGAGTTTCTTGGAGCCAGGAGGGCCCAATGGCACAGATGGGCAAACAGCCCAGAGAGGGGCAAGAATGTGACCAAGGTCACACGTAACAGCCAGGACTGGACACCTGCTGGCCCTGGTTGAATGACTGATAGAAGATCCTGGTCTTCCGTTTCTCACACCAATACAGGTGCCATGGGGAAGCTGACCTGGGCTTTGAGAGACCTGAGTTCAGGCTCCAAGCTGCCCCCTGCCTTATATCCAGGATATACATTCAGCATCTGTCCCTGGGACAGAGCCTGGACTCTCAGGAGGTGGGTGGTGTCTGCCTCTGCTCCATTATTCGGAGCACAGTACAGCCATAGGGCCAGGTCAGGCTGGAGGCCAGGAGGGAGGGAGGAGGGAAGGCGTGGAAGTGGCTTCCAACAGCCCCTTTCCCTTTATCCTGGCTCCAACTACTGGGCCCAGAGCCACAGTGGCTTCCAGGGACCTCTGGACCAGGGTAAGGGGAAGACAGATGAGGAGGAGGAAATGAATTAGGTAGATAGCTAGGTAGAATCCATCCCCCACCCTGGGATCAGGAGCACAGGGCATGTCCAGGGGGCAGCTGGCTTTCCTCTCTCTGGGGACAGGCCCAGAGCAGGCTGGGGCAGGAGAAGGGAGGGGAAAAAGGGGCAAAAACTCAGCAAACACCTGCAGTTGAGTCCCAGCCTCCTAGAGCAACCAACCCAGTCATCGCTGGAGACTCTGGCTCCAGACCTACTGAGTAACCTTGGCAAGCCACTCCCCTCTGTGGGCCTCAGCTTTCTCATCCATCAAACAAGAATAGGATGAGAACACCTCGTCCTCCAGGCCTTCAAAGAATTATTGATGGGGTTAAAGGCCACAGTGTTGACTAAGATGCAAGCCCATGCGGAGAGGGGCAGGGGCTCTGGAGCCAGGCTGGCATGGGTTCCACTCTTGCCTCCGCTGTGGCATGACCTTAGGCAAATAACATCACCTCATTCAACCTCAGTTTCTTTGTAATGTGGAGACAAGATTACTACTGCCCCAGACTAGCCTCAGGGTAAATTTGATGAGGGGGAGAAATGCTTGGCTCAGAGCAGGGGCTCTCATGATCAGAAATGGGATTATCTGCATGGAACCCTGGAGCCCCGGAATCTTGCGGATGGAAACTCAGAGGCCTCCATCCATCTCCCAGAGCTCCAACTAGCTGTGCTGAGAGGATCGGGAATGGGGAGCTGGCACCTTGGGGTGCCCATTACCAGGGTCCCAGCCTCCTTCCTAGATCTGTGCTCTGCTCACCTCCTCTCCCCACCCTCTCTCCATTGTGGGGAGCAAAGCTGGGGAGGCAGGCTGCAGGGAGAAGCAAGGAAGGAGGACTAGGCTGAGAGGCTGGGTTCCAGGCCCAGTTCTGCTGAGACAGCTGTGTGACCCTAGGCAGGTCCCTGCCCCTCTCTGAGCCCCAATATCCTCGTCTGCATCCCAGGGGCAGGAGGAGTATGACATAGGGATTACCAAGGGCCCTTTGGCACCTCCAACATCTGCTTAGTCTGAACGAAAAGGAAAGTTGGGCCCTGGCTGCCCAGGAGGCTGTATGCCTGCCCAGAAGATAACAGCCCAGTTTTTCCAAGTCCCCACCACCCACAAGGAAGGCCACCAGACAAGTCTGATCTGGCCACAAGTGGTCTCTTGCAGTCAGCCTGGCCCCTAGACCCACCAATTCTAGGCCTGGGCTGGGCAGCGTTTATTCATTAACTAAGCCAGATGGAGGAGGTAGCTCCGCCCTATTGACACAGAGGGTGGGAGTACTGGCCTCCATTCAGACCCCTCCTCCCCTGACTTTCTAGAGTGCCAGCTTGATGAGGAAACTACACTTCTCCCCAGTGTGCACTGCCAGCCTGAAGCCTTTCGAAGGTCACAGTCAGGCTCTTGTGAACTCCCTTGCTCACCTTTCATTCAGTTTGTTCCTTCATTCTTTCCTTCCACCAATATCCTGCTAAATCTGTGTTGGATACTGGGTGGCAAAGAGGACAGAACCTGAGAGGTTGAGGCAGGCAGATCACTTGAGGTCAGGAGTTCGAGATCAGTCTGCCCAATATGGTGAAACCCTGACTCTACTATACATACAACAATTAGCTGGGCATGGTGGTTTGCACCTGTAGTCCCAGCTACTCAGGAGGGTGAGGCAGGAGAATCGCTTGAACCCAGGAGATGGAGGCTGCAGTGAGCTGAGAACTCACCGCTGCACTTCAGCCTGGGTGACAGAGCAAGGCTTCTAAAAAAAAAAAGGATGGGACATGCCAGTTGCCTTCCCCTTCCCTGCTCCTCAGGCTTAGACACAAGTCAAGGTCCTGAGCTCTGGGCAGTGAATCCCAAAACGGGAGACTCACATGGAAACTCTGAGGCAAAGATAGTCAGATGGCCAAGGTGCAGACAGAGTCAGAGGAGAGAAGGTAAGGCAGAAAGGGAGAAGCAGAAAATTCTGTAGGGATGGACAGAACTATATATAAATGATTAAAACAAAGTGAGACTGAAGGGCTGAGGGTCAGAGGCAAAAGGTCAGACCTCTCAGGCCCTGGTGTGAGGCCAAGATACATGCCTGAACTAAGTCTGAGACCAGGTCCCAGACAGAAGGGGAAGGTGGACTCCTCCACATTTCCAGGAGGATAGCAGAAAGGAGAAGGCAAAGAAGAGGGAGGCAAAGGGTACAGCCTACTGCCAGGAGCCCACTGCAGGGAGACCTACCAACCCTGGAAATGAAGCACCCACAGCAATCCCAGCTGTGTTGGGGGCAGCTACTGAGGCCTCTAAACCAGAGTCTTCACCAGCCCCTGCCCCATCTGGTCCCCTGGGGGAGGTGGGTTCCCAGGGTCCCAAACTCCAAGCCTGCCCTGCAAAGAGGAGAATTATGGAGTTGGGAGGAGCAGGGGAGATAGCTGTGAGCAGCAGATGTGTCTGCAACTGCCTCCTATGTTGGCTTCCCTTGACCCCAGCTCCCGTCCTCCCTTCCTCCCCCAGCCCACCTACAGGCTGGCTCTGTGCAAGGCTGGGGCATCGGAGCCCTGCCTTCAGGATCTGCTAGCCACAATCCTGAGTCCCTGCAGGAGGCTCAGGGAGCAGCCAGGGAGGGAGGGAAGGGAAAGAGCAAGAGCAGAGCATTAGGCAGGAAGGAATCAGGTCCTGGGCACCCTAGGGTAAAGAAAGCAGGGAAGGAGACCTGCTCAGCCTGAGAGAACCAGGAATCAGAGAGAAAAGGGCCCCGTCTCCCACCTGGGGTAACTCAAGTCAGGAACCAGGTGCAGGCTTCCCAGGCAGAGGGCTCCCTGAGGGAGACCACTCTCCTAGATGGGCCTGGTAGCAGCCCAGCTCCCTGGAGCAGGCAGGGACATGCAGAAGCCTGGGTTCCAGCTGAGAGAGCCAGGATGAGTCAATCCAGCTCTCCAGGCCTCGGTTGGCCCATCTGTGTGATGGGGCTTGGCCCAGCCGACTGTGCCTCCTCCCGGTCCCTGGCAGGAGACTGTCTCTGGGCCCAGATGCACAGCCGGGTGTCTGCAGCCCAGAGAGAGGACCAGGAGACTCCGGGAGAGTCAGTAAGGGTGCAGTGGAGGCTGCAGGTATAGCGGGCAACCCTACCTTGATCTTGTGCAGCGTCCGATCCATCTCCACAGCCTGCACCCACACAGACACGCCAGCCTTGCTGTAGGTCAGGTTCCAGCCCACCTCGGCCTCACACTCTAACCGGAAGCTGCGGAAGTCTTGGTCATCGGGCACCTGGACACTCTCTCGGCCCAAGACCGGCCGAGGCCCCAGGGACTCTGTGGAGGCCGCCGGCTTCTCCATGGGGAGTGTGGGGAGGCCCAGGGCCCTGGTCCTAGTCCGGCTTCCCTAGGTCCTCCGCAGAGGCTCCGACAACGTCGACGCGGCTGCAGATGCTGACGCCACCTTCCTGGGACCTGCCAGACCGGTTTGAGGACGGGAATCAGTGCGCTGGGGGCGCGGGTGGGGCTGTCCGGGGTCCTGGCGGGTGTAGAGCTCGAGAGAGGCAGGGGCTGGCCCCGGGGAAGGGCGGACTGGCGCTGGACAGCCTCGGGGCCCTCTCCGGAGGAGTGCCCCAGACCCCCTGGGGCCGGCGTGGGGACTGCGTATGGGGCGCGGTGGCCCACGGGCGCCCGTCGGGACCCGAGGGGAGGGACGGTGCGGCGGCGCCCGCGGAGCGACCTGCTCAACTAACTCGCAGCGGCGCGGGGCGGGAGGGGCGCGGGGCGCGGGGCGGGAGGGGCGCCCTCCCGGCCGGGGCTGCTCACCTGTGCCCGACGCTCCGCTGGGGCCCGCCAGGACCGGGGTGCGAGCGCCGCCGCCGCAGCTGCCCCGGCGACCCGGGGCCGCGCGGGGGCTCTGGGGGAGGAGCAGTGGGTCCCGTTGCCCGGCCCCGCCCCGGCCCCCGCCCCGCGCGCCCCTCCGGCTACGCTGGGGGCTCAGGGGCTGGGCGGCCGCGGCTCGGGATTTTCCAGGCTGCGGAGGTGAAGCTGACGGAGCTCCGAGCCCCGCCCCGCCCCGCCCCGCAGGGTCCTAGCGCCAGCCCCCGCCGCCCCGGGAGGGGACCCGGCGCCCGAGGGGCCAGTCCTCAGCGGGGACCGGGAACGGGGTGAGGAGAGGCCAAGAAAGTGGGCTCTGCGAGGAAGGGCCACGAGGTGCTAGAAGAGGAATTCTGGAAGTTAACTGTGAACCCCTTCTCTCCACCACCTCCCATATTCACAGGTACACACCTCTACAACAACCTACAGTATTTACACACAGGCACGCTATCCCCAGAACAACCCAGAGATGCCCCCACGCAATACCCCAGAGATCCAAAGATGGGCACACACCCTCATGACAATCAAGAGACTAACTTGCAGGATGACGGCCCCACAGCAGCTCAGAGATGCCCACAGCTTGCATCCCCCACCAAGCTAGAGGCACACCACGCCTACACACACCCAACCCCATTCCCAGTGGGATGTGCAAACCCAGCAGGAAGCCCATCCAACCCACAAGGCTCAAGGTTCACAGGCTGGCCAGACATGGCAAAATCTCCCCAGTCTCACTCCTACCTGGGAGCTTGAACTGGGACTCCCTCTGGCCCCACACTCTGGCCCTTGGCCACCAGCACCCCTTCTCAGCATGCACACACGCGGGTGTACACACACACACATACACACACGCACGCACGGACGCACGCCTCCTATGGACTAGACGAGGCTCTCAATAGCATCTGGCCTAGAGCTCTGAGCTCTCTTACCTCCCCAGGCAGAGTTGCCCAGAGCTCCATAGCTACCTGCACCAGCCCTCCTGCCATCCCTTCCAGTCTGGGAGGCTCCCCCCTGCCCCCTGGGTCCTAGTGCCAGCTCTACCTCCATCTGCTCTGTGTGAACTGAGGCCACTAGCTCAACTTCTCCAAGGCCAGCCCAGGGTGAGTGTGGCAGTCTGTCCCAGTGACTATGGTGAGCTCCTGTGGATGAGCGACTAACAGGGCCCATCAAGAACCCACCACATGACCAGTGTCGGCGAGTCCACAGTCACACTGACCAGCATGAAGATCTCAGCCTCCTCCCACCTCCATTCCTGTCTGTGCCCCGCTGCCTCCTCCTCTCTGGCCCTTAGTTTTTCACTTACAGAAGGAGGGAATCAGAATGGATAACCCTAAGCTGCCTCCTAGCCTCACAAGCCTAGAGCTCTAGGATGGAACAGCTTTTCTTAAATGTGCTAAGAAAAAAACGAGGAGTCGAGGATTTGTCACGGTGCTTCACAAATAGAGGTGTTTCTTCCTGAAGTGCTTAAAGCACCACTGAGATGTTTGTAAATTAGGCCACATTTTAAAACTGAGTGGGGGAGAGCAGGGAGGATCCATGGTGGCAAGTGACCCCGAAGGACATCCTATAAAGTGAATCCTGGACAGTGTGCTGCAGGTCCTCATGAGGCCTGTGTGAATGACCTTAGATCTCCAGGCCTCCCATCTGCAGTGTGGGAGGCACAGTCAGATAATCACCCCATCCCTTCTAAACCACACTCCTGAAAAGTGTCTGGGAATGAGTGGGTGGCAGGGGGCTGGCTCTGGGCTCAGGACGCCCAGGCTATGACTCTCTGCTATCTAACTCCTCTGCCTCTAGCCCGATTCTAGGCAGGTTACTGCCTCTCCCCAGGCCTCAGCAGTGGACACCCAGGCAGTGTGGGTGTCAGATAAAACCCAAAGGGGACCCCAGTAGAGCCAAAGCCAGCTTTGCTTTGTGAACTGTATCCTCTTGGATCTGCCATGAGGAAAAGAGGTGGCAGAACTCGCCTGGTGGCTCCTGCCTTTTTAGGGCCACATATAATAAAACACATCTCAGCAGACAGCAGGCACCAGAGCAGCAAACTTCTCATACCCACCATCCAGTCCAGGATGAAAAAGACAAGGCCTAGTGACAGGAGGTAGCAGTGAGGACAGTCTGATAGAAGGACTTCCCCACCCTAGAGAGCTGCCAGAGAGATAAAAACTCAGGGAGGTGCAGATGGCAATAACCAAACCATCACTCAGATCCAAACACAGAAGAGCCAAGACTCTTTTGGATCTTGGGTCAGTAAAGGTGGGTGACCTGGCACCCCTGGGCTCCAGCAGCTGTGCCCTGGGCTCATCCCTGGGTGCTAGGTTTCAGCCAAGCTACCTCGCCAGCAGGTGAGTAGAAGGGTATCACCTCATTCTACTCATTAATTTACCCTTGCAAATGCCACCCCTCCCAGGAATTTTGGTATCTCTGGTTCTGGGTCTCATAAAAACCTCTCATGTGACAAAGCCGATTCATATCCTTCTCAAAACACCCCTGAGCAGCGGAGAAGGGCCCATATGCTCCAGAGCAAAAGAATGAGCCCAGAAGGACTGGAGGGGCTCTGGAAGAGGACTCTAGAGAGTCCTCTGGGTTCAAATCCTGGCCCTATCATTTCCTAGCTGTGTCAACTAGAAGCCGGTGACAGGCCTTCTCTGAGCCTCAGTTTCCTCATCTGGAATAATAATACATACCTATCCTCTGAGAATTGTGGCAGGGAAAAGAGTTGTGTATGTGCCAGTTTCACCTCCAGATAAGTAACTAAAAATATAACTGGTGGGGGTGGGTGGGGCAGGGAGGAATACACTGCCCAAAAATACATGGTTCCAACAAAAAGTGTTAAGGTAACATCTTGACATGATGGTTGGCAAGATTTGATTGTCATGGAAGATTAAACAATGGAAAGAGTTTTGGCAAAGCTCTGCCCACTGCAGTCCCCTGCCCCAGATCTGTTTCCCTCCACAGGAAGTGGATCGAGGTGCCTCTCTGAGCCCCAGGCCAGACTCCAGATCTGGCTACTCTCTGGGTCCCAGTTCCAGAATGGGGCATCAAAGACAGCAGAAGCCAGAGTAGGTAGAGAAGGTGAGACTGTGTACGAGCAGGCGCTTGGCAAACTGAGAAGCAGCGTGGGAATGTGAAGCATCATTACGCAGGGCACTGGGCAGGCCTGGCTCTCACACATGCCCTTTGCAGACAGAGCAGCTGAGGTTGTGGGAGGCACCGGGGCACTCCTGTATCACACAGAATGTCAGAAGCCATAAGGGGACTCCAGTCACTTGGGACTGACCTAGAGTCCTGGAATGGGGGAAGGGAGCACTTGGAAAGAGTCACATCAGACTTTTTGCTCACTGCTGTTGGAGGAGGAGTCAGAGCACCTGCCTGGAGTCAGCCACCCCATGACCTGGTCCCTAACACTCCCCTCAACTCCCCACAGCAGAACTAAAGACCCCTCAGACTAAGGGCATTTGACCCCACCCTCTTCCTGTACAAATAGAGACACAAAGGTCCTGCTAGCAGGGACGAAGCAAAAATAAGTATCTAGGGGCTGGGTGCAGTGGCTCATACCTGTAATCCCAGCACTCTGGGAGGCCAGTACAGGTGGATCACCTGAGATCAGGAATTCGAGACCAGCCTGGCCAACATGGTGAAACCCGTCTCCACTAAAAATACAAAAATTAGCCAGGCATAGTGGCACACGCCTGTAGTCCCAGCTACTCAGGAGGCTGAGGCTGAAGCAGGAGAATCGTTTGAATCCTGGAGGTGGATGTTGCAGTGAGCAGAGAGTGGGCTACTGCACTCCAGCCTGGGTGATAGAGCAAGACTGTCTCAAAAAAAAAAAAGAAAAGACAAGACAAAAAAAAGAGAAGAAAAGAAAAAAAAAGGAATAAGAACCTAGGTAGGTCTCTCAGCTCTTAACCTGAGGCTCCTGCTCCTCCCACTCCTATTATATACCACATCTTCCACTTGCCTGCTGGTGACCTTGACACAGTCACTGCACTCTCTCAGCCTCAAGAGTTAGCCTCCCTTGGTGCCTCCCCAGCCTGCCTAGCGTCCTGGACAGTGAGGATCGGGAAAGTCTAGCCTTGCTCCAGGGCGCCCACCCCTACTCACCATCTAGTGAGAGAGATGATGGCTGCCTTGATTTCCTTCTGGGAGATGAGAGGGTCCCACCTGTACCCCTTCTCCCCCACCCCCTCCTCAGGGGTAACCCTGCCTGCCAGTTTTGATGGAGCAAATTCCCAAGTTGTCCAGGACAACAAGGCAGTATCCTGGGGCACTGTTCTAGAAGATTAGGCAGTGACCTTCGAGATGTCACCCAGGAAGCCGGGCATGGAGGAGAGGTTCCAGAGACCCTCAGAAGGTTGGGCTGGTGGCTCACCCCTATAATCTCAGCACTTAGGGAAGCCAAAGCAGGCAGACTGCTTGAGTCCAGGAACTCAAGACCTGGCTGGGCAACATGGTGAAAACCCTTCTCTATTAAAAATTTAAAAATTAGCT